AGGGGATTGATCAGTAATAGAACAATCAAGTTGAAGAACATCTCAGGTGCTAAGAATCCAGCAGATATGTTCACCAAGACAGTGGTGCTGGATAAGCTGAAGCTTTGCATAGCTTCAGCTGGTCTCCTGGAATAGTGTTGAGGAGAGGGGCAACTAGGGAGATGTGAAAATCAAGGAGGATCTTTCATTTACAGAACTACAGAGAGAAGCCGCAGTTTGGTCCAAAGACTCCAAGTGGGAGATTGTTGGTGATGTGTAGTCATCGGCCCAAAGTGGCCCACTTGTAGACAACTGAGAGTTAGGAGACCAAATTAGGGTTTCGGCCGGCCCAAATGGTTTTAAGCCCAGTTTGCTATAACTTGTCCAGCAAGGGTTAAACCCTAATTAGTTGTCTATATATATGATCTCCTGTACTTGTAATCATTATCACTCAATAATACAAACCCTAGTTGCCCCTGTGGATGTAGGTCAGATTAGACCGAACCACGTTAAATCTCGTGTTCTTTATCGCTTTCTTGCTTTATATTCGTGTGTGTGCTTTTGTTCTTAACATTTGATTCTCTATGGCACAATTGTGTTCATGATTTGCAACAACAAATAAAAAGAAGGGACAAAAAAGGAGCTTTGCATGTTGCTGACTTGCTGATCTACGTACATGGGGATATCAGGAGGCAAGCTCTGCCATAAATTTCCTTTGGAAAAACCCTATGCACGGAAGAAGGAGAATCAAACAATGTACAAAAGGGAGAGAGAATAGATCCGAAAGCGAGGAGGGAGAGAGAGATAAAGTAGAGCTTCGGTAGGATTTTTTATTAGAACTCAGCTCCCTTTTTTTAGTTACTTTTGTAAACCTACCTTCCAAATATGAATTTCCTTTCTTTTTGCTAGTGTTTCTGGTAACTACATTTTGTTACTTTGATCTATTTATAATTGTTTGGCCTGCATGTGATGAAATGTGTTTAGGATTGCTACAAGGTACTCAACATGTGTTTTTCTAACAGTTTGAGATCTATTTGAGGTTGAAGTGCGGAACTTATACTTTGATATTATGTTCTCTATGTGAGCACTTATAGGACCAACACCATTTTTTTAATTGTTGCCCTTTTAGCATGGTATTTAGTTGAATTCTTTAGGCTTTGGCCGATCATTCGTTTCAATCATTTGATATTTTTAATTGTCTCTGAACCAGTTAATATGAATGGGAAAAAGAGGGACTTTGGAGGAATGGAGCATGGTGATGATCAGGCTGCCCTTCTTGACCCGGCTAAAAAAGCACTGATGCACATTGTGCAAGATGACTCATTTAGGGAATTTGAATTCAGGCAGTATCTATTTGCCTGTCAAGCAAAGGTGTGAAAGTGCGAGAACCTGCAGTTAGCTTAAGCTGGTTGTTTATAAACATAAACAAATTTGCTGATCATATATAGTATCTGTTTACTATCTCCAAATATTGTGAAATATGTCACATACATGGTTATCTCAACTATCGTGTAGAATGTTAGTCTTGGTAAGAAGATATGGACATACCTAAGATACTATGCTTGATTATTCTACGCCATGTCCCTGAGACCTGACGTTCAGTGGGCAGGCACTCAACTAGCACACCAAACTGACGTTCAGTTGGAAGTAATAACATAAAAACTGACATACTCATGTCCTTCAACATTTGATTAGTTACCAGAAAAAGCAAACGAAAAGCACTTTTTCTTCACATTTTTAAATTAAAAGCTGAAGATACTTACACGATGACTTTGGTCTATTCTCTTGGTGCATATATATAACAGCCGACCCTAGTAGGTTGAGATTGAGGACTTATTCTCTTCGCCTGAAAAAAAATGAAAAGAAGTAATCTGATTAGAACATAAGCTCTGGTCTGGTCTTTATCTTTCTGGCCTGTCTTGTCTAATCTTTATTTTCAGAAATACACATCTTGTCTGTGGTCTGGTTTGATCCAAATCTTTCAGCTGGTAAATGTTTCTTGTCAAATAAAAACAAGTTGAAGATTTGGTGAAGAGAACTACACCTAATACTTTATTCAGTCCATTGTTGCTGTTTCTCTTGGTTAAATAGGAGATGGGTTTGATAATGGTTTATTGTTCTGTGCTTCCCTGGCAATAAACTGTTTGCTACACTGTTTTTTCCTTTTATTTATACAAAACAAAGAACTTTTGTTGATTCTATTCCTGTTGCATTGTAACATGTAGTTGTTGTTTAAGCTGAATCGTCCATTTGAAGTTGCATCAAGGGGTTATTCATTTATAATCAGCTTTTCTAAGGGATTGGCCCTCCATGAGGTAACTGATCCTCCACTGTTTAATCCTCTAGCATATAGTTTTTTTTGTTGGTGGTTAAGGATTTAAGATTTGACTACGTAGTAGGTAGTATATATTATCTTATATTTTTGTCTGCAATTTTTTCCTCCTGATCTCAGAATAGACTTCCGTTCTGTATGCGTGAAGTATGGGTAATAACTGGATGCCGGGATTTAATAAATGCCACCACTTCAAGGTATCAAGATGGACTTGTGTCACCTGATACAGAAAAGGAGTTTTATCGTCTAAAAGGGGATCTCTACTCCTTATGCCGTACTAAGGTAACATTATTTATGTTAAATACGGAGTAGTTTTTTCATCTAGTTTATTATTGGATACTTACTGGAGCTCATTGTAGTTATGTCTACCATGGGTTGAATCTTTCAGTCAATTAGTTCTATCTAGTTATTATAGGTCACCAAATATGCAAAGAGGCAACTTATACAGCCCCTTTCTCTCATTGAAGGAGCATGCAGTTTAAGTTGTTTAACTGCTTAACGTTGTAAAGAATTTATTTATACTCTGTTGACTGCTCTACCAACATGTTTTTCTAATGCGGCAGTTCATGCGGCTTGCCTATTTAATTGGCTATGGTTCCCATATTGAAAGGAGTCCCGTCAACAGGTGAACAGTACAGTCCTGCACCTAAAACACTCTGTTGGACTTCTTTAACATCTTCCAAGCTCATGCCACTTCTTTTTGTATTGACAGTGCTTCACTTAGCATGCTCCCTTGGCCTAAACCCGCTGTCTGGCCTTCTTTGCCACCTGATGCATCATCTCAGGTTCTTTTGAAAGAAAAGGTATGTTTATGTAGTAAACTCTAAATCTATACTTGATATTGGAAGATACCTTTCAATCTTTCATGATGATACTCTTATTTAGTTTATCACAAGAGCAATTTTTTTGAGTTTCCTTAGGAGAATTAATTGTGTATAAGTTTGAATGTTGCAACAAAAAAAGAACGCAAGTATGTGTGTGGGTGGGTGTATGTGTGTATCAATGTATGCATATGACACAAACACGAGTGTGAGTGAGGGTACACATGCAACACAACATTTTCAAAAATATGAGACATGGATACGATATGGTCATGATGTATGCACACTCAAATAAAATGTCCGCAACAAATTACACATAATAAACAATACCAATAATGTCTATAGTTTGCATAATATCAAAAGTGGGTAAGTTTACACATAAGGCTTAGTTGTTCATAGTTTACACACCACTTACAACATTTAAAGAAGAAAAATTCATGAGGCTAAAGTGGGTAAGTATTGAATGTGTTGTTGCAATTTGGAAGAAGAGAAAAATATGTTGTAATATCTAGGGCCTTCTCTTCGATGAGAGAAAGAAACTATATGAGAGTGAGTGAGGATTCAGAATAAAGCTATATGGAGGATTGGAGTGGACTAAAAGAGATCTAGGGTTTGTTTAAAAAACTTGGCCTTGTTGCCACCATGTCACTGTTATGTCCCCACACCCACATTTACCACTATTTAAATGAGAAAAAAGAACACAATGTATGCATGTCCTCTTGTTTTGTCAAAGTGTGTGACCGTGTGACACTTATGACACATCTTTAGTCGTGTCTATGCTTCCTAGGTATGTGTATCTTTATTCATATGCATGTATGTGTGTGTAATGCTAATAAATATGTGTACCTATGTATTGTTAATATAATTATAGATACAGACACATGTGTGTGGGTGTGTGTGACGTACAGACATACAAATATGCATATACATGCATTTGTGTAAAGTTACTCACAATACGACGCACCAGTTTGCAGATAAAAATAGTCCCCTCACCTCCACATATGTGTACTTGTATATATATGCCCCGAAATCATATATCTCTTCTTTTTCATGTTTAGGGCTATTTAATGTATCAACATTTACCTCATTATGACTTCATTTTGTTTGAAATACTCTTAATGGCATAAATTGCAATCCATATGACTGCACTTGTAGGCAATTCTTCAAGATTCTTCACGGCCTAACCATTTTGGCATTCAGAAGAAACCACTTCCTCTTGAACCATCCATATTGTTGCGGGAAGCAAATCGTCGAAGAGCATCACTTTCCGCAGGAAATGCATTTGAAATTTTTGATGGTCAGCCCAACACGATTGATGGGTATTGATTACATGTTTATGTTCACTTGAACTAAAATATTTTTTAAGTAGTTGTGTTACATTTCTCTCATATATAACACACACATCTTCCTATATAATAAATCATAAACACAAAAGAGATTATGCTATGCGTCTAATGAATCAAAGGCTTCCTCTTTAGTTGACATTTCTTGCTAATCTATTGACTAAAAGGTTCATTAGGTCCTTGTTATTAAGTTATTCTTCACGTAGACCAAAAAGTAACAACTGAAATTTCCTTGTCTCCATAATTACTTACAATATCGTTTGTTTGGTGAATGACTTATTGAAGAGTTTTTAGCCTATTCAACCCAAATTAAGAGTTTGACTATGTCAAACGATTTTACTTGGCATTTTTATAGAGCCTGTTTACATTAGAAAATGACTCAGCCTCAGTTTTTTTGGTAAGAACTCCTAGGTCCCACATTATCTGAAATATACTCCGGGGTACCCTCGATTTTTTGGTAAGAACTCTTAAGTCCCACATTATCCGAAATATACTCTAGGGTCCTTAAAATTTGTGATATTATACTCTAAGGGTACATTGTGTCCCTTTAGGCGTTAGGATTGAAAGTTCTGTTACTTTGAAAAATTGAAGGATTTAATTAAAATTCAATAATATAATGATTATCAAGGTAAAATTTAGTTTTTGTCAAAGTAACAGAACTTCCAATAGTAAGAGCTAAATAGATAGGATGTATCCTCGGAGTACATTACCTCAAATTTTAAGGATCCCCAGAGTTTATTTTAGATAGTTTGGGACCTGAGAGATCTTACCAGAAAATTGAGGGTACCTCAAAGTATATTTCAAATAATGTAGGACCTAGGAGTTTTTAACAAAAAAAGAGGATACCTCAGAGTAATTTTTTTGCTATTTATATAGCTAGAGAAAGTGAAAGCTAGTTTTAAAAAAACTCGTCGAGATAGCTTTTTAATGGAGCTGAATATGGAATTATACTTGGATAGAAAAGCGTACCTTCAATCTTTTCTTATACTTCTAATTTTTTACTCCCTCCGCCCCAAAAAGATTTACACGTTTCAAAAAAATTGTGTCCCACAATCTCTTACCCATTTCTATTAAAAAACCACTTTTACCCCTTACTTTTTCAAACCCTACCTATCACATCATACCTTTTTTCTAATAATCTACACATCACATCCTACTTTACCCATCACATCAGGGGTATTTTTGGAAAGTGAACACAAAATTATCCCTCCCTTAATTTCAACTTTAGTCAAAATGGGTAACACTTTATGGGACGGAGGGAGTATATTTTACTTATCATGAAAGTATTTGAAAGAAAAAGATTGTGAAAAATTGATATGTTAGTATTCACTCCCTCACAAAGTTAAGATTTCACTTTGACTTGCAGGACCTCTAATGAAACATTTTAGCTATTGATATTTGTACAACACCAATAATAATGTAGCTGCCACAAATGGGGGGTCTAGGGAGGGTCAGTGTACACCCATACCAATATATGTAGAGATGTTTCTGAAATTCTTTTGGCTCAAGAAAACACAAAAATAGTTTAGAACAATAAATAATTAGTATATGAAGTGTAAAATATCTATGGAAAGGATGAGTAGATAACACCTCATATATACAAACCACCACAAGGGCACCCTCTAAGCCTCTACTCAATGTCCTCTTATAACTCAAGTATGTCAGCACGTTCACAAGTCCTCATCTCCATTTCTCTCAGCTTTTGCATGTGGCTACCACTCTACAGAAGTTACCTTTCAGTTTCAGTGGTACTTTTAGAACACAAGCTTCCTTTTAATCCAGCTTGCTCTGATACGATGAACGACTTCATCATTAATTTTGTTATTTCCTTGAATAAATGATCCAAGGTGAACAATGAAGAAAATTATCATGAGCGGCCTTGTACTGGGGTTTATTTAATTCCTTTAGATTTAGATCTGTAGTATGGTGTTCCGTTAGCACAACATTATGAGCATGAGGAGCATCAATGCTAGTAGGATGATGATATTGGTAAATTTGTGAACGTTAGGCTGATGTGGGATGCATGTTTGGTTGAAATTGGCCTAGACATTGGGCTGCCGCACAACTTTTCCCACTTTGCTTTACGCTCATTCCGATTTTTTTTTATCTCTTTTATTTTAGAAAAAGATATGTGATCCAAAATACTTATCTATCTTCAAATTTTAACCATTCATGTTTTCAACACTGCTTGAGCATATGGTTTCTTGGAAACAACCTCTCTACTTTCTAGTGAGAGCAAAGTTTGTGTACAACACCCTTCCCACATACACACCCTCCCCAGACCCTACTTCTGTGGGATTATACCGGGATTATTGTTGTTGTCGTCATGTTCTTAACATTTTTGAATCTATGTGAAATCAATTAGGGAAAAATAATTTGGGACAAAGGGAGTATAATAAGCGGTTGAGTGGAGTTGGATCACGAACATGTAATGAAGTCTGAAAGGTGAAGCATGTTTGGAGTTTGTGTCATGTAAAATGTGGAATTAATAAAGTTGATATTGGCGAAGACAAAAAAGTTATCTTAGTATTAGCGACGTTGTCCCTGTATTGAATATCTTGAGATATATTAGATGAACTGTGAAGGCATTTTTGGATGTTGTGTTGTGTCGTGAACAAAGCAAACACACCCAAACACAGTGGATAAAGAGAACAAGTCACGTGTAGGACAAAAAAGGAATATGGAACAACATTAGGCATGTGATAAATAAGATGATATGCAGCTATAATGACAACATGTAGGTAGGAAAATTGATAGAATATGGAACATTGCTGTGAAGAGCATATGAAGGCATGCACTTATAAGATGACATGCAACTAGAGAATGACATCAACACAATGTTGAGGTGATGTATGGGAGTTGAGGTGTGAATGGTATCCCTTGCTTCGTACTCTATGAATTTTTGCTGTAAATGAAGCAATGCATCTAGCCTCAAACACATAGTTTTGAAAGGCATTTGCCTCTCTCGCCTAAGGTGCCCCACGTAACGTAACTGGGCAAGCATGCATGCCTCAAGGGAGCCAGGTGAGGCGACATCCCCAAGGCATGCCTATGGCAGTCACCTTTCTCGCCTCAATTGCTGCCTCAGGCGATCGCTTTTCTTGCCTTACGTATTTAGCCCTAGAAGTAAAAAAAATCAAATTGCCCCTCTCATTACCTCTAATCTGGAAAGTTTAGAAGTCGAAGACAAAGAATCATTTGTGACTTCCTTGTTCCTTCGAGTAATCTACTTCTCGGAGTTATCTTTATCAATGCAAGTCTGGGACGGTCGCATCTCTTTCATTCTTCACAATTTGTTTGGCAGATTTGTTTCTTCTGTTTTTTCTTCAGCCTTTGCAAGTTTATTTTCTAAACCTAATCTATTATGTCTGTTTGTTCTTCTATGAAGGTTTGTTTTTGCTCAAGTCTTTTTTTTCTACTCCCTCCGTCCAAGAATAAAGTTCCCACTTTCCTTTTTCGTCCGTCTAATAACAATCTTCCCATTTCTATTTTTGGAAACTTTTTTATACTAAAAAGTCTAAATTACCCTCTCCCACCCGCTCTCTATCTTCTTTTCTTTTTCTCTTTCCTTCTCTGCTGTTCCCATTTCCTTTTCTTTCTTCCACTTCCTTGCGGTTTTCATCCTTTTCTTCTTTCTTTTCTCTCTCTTCTTCTTCTTTCTTTCTTTCTTTTGAATATCTTGAGAAAAGAAAGATAAGGGCACCGCAGATACCCCAAAGGGTAGGGAGGGGGGTAGGAGGGGTGGGGGTTAGGGGGGGTAGGAACCGTCATTTTTACAAACGGGGCACCGTAGATGCCCCAAACAAACTGGTGTAAGCAAATGGCACCAGTAGCACTGGTGTCATTTTTAGACTTATACACACACACACACACACACAGATATATATATATATATATATATATATATATATATATAAACAAACAAATATATATATATATATATATATATATATATATATATATATATATATATATATAAAGAGCGTGTGTTACTGCCAAACTTCACTGGAAGAACAACTAAAAACAAAAAATTATTCAAAACAGCTGAGGCAGATATGCAACTTCAAATTGCTAAAAACTAATTTCATTTCAATACAGGAATATTTGTTCTTACTGCTTTGTTCTTGGATGTATTTTATGTTTCTCAATCATAAATTTAACTCTTACACAAGATCAGCTGCTGACAGTTCAGGTTTAATATCTCCATCTCCCAAAGTACATGCAACGTCTATGCTGCGAACTTATTCTTCACCTGGATTTGAAAGCTCCATCAGTCGACCTATGAAGCTATCCGAAATATTTGTTGCGGCTGAGCGCTCTTTGCAAACTACAATTTCTGATAAAGAGCTATGGAAATCATTGTCCTCTCCGGAGGAATTTGAGGTGACTATTTAAACTATATCCTCACAATATCTAGAGCTAAGAAGTGCAGGATTTGTCTGAGATGATATTTGTTTTAATACTGTTAGAGTGCATCCCACATCGGAAGTTCAAGAGTAAAATAACCGGTATATAAGCTCTTGAGTTGGACTAACTAATCGATTGGATTCAATCTTTTAATGTGGTTCAACCCAAGTGTCTTATTGCCCAATCCAATTGTCCATACCCATCCTAAATTCTATCAAATACAAACTGTCCATTTCCAATGGAGCTAAAAGAGTCATTATTGACAATGTTTTAGTTTCGGTTACATAATGGACTAAATCAAAATGTAACATTAAACTTCTTTTGTTTTGTACTTTCAATGAAATTTTGGGCAGTAAATGCAACAATGCATCTAGGGTCTAATGGAGTAGCCTTTTTGTTTTTACACGGGTAAGATTGCATACATTTTGACCACCCAGTGCCAATGGAGTTAGGATTATATTGGAGCTGGGATTCTACTGGGTTGTTGTAGTCTCTGTCAATTTATGCTTCCTACGAGCTTTGATGATATGATTCTTTGAACACTTGTATATGTATTTTTTATTCAATGTGCCTTTTCTCTATTTTTTGAGACATATTTTGTTGTCAGAAAAAATATTTGGAACTGTCAAAGGGTGCCGCTGAAAACTATCATCAGTCATGGTGGAAGAGACATGGAGTTGTTCTTGATGGTGAAATTGCATCTGTCTATCATAAGCTTGGAAACTTTGATATTGCTGCCAAGTTGTATGAGAAGGTCTGTGCTCTGTATGCTGGTGAAGGTTGGCAGGACCTATTGGCTGAAGTCCTTCCAAATTTAGCAGCGTGTCAAAAGATACTGAATGATCAAGCTGGTTATCTCTCTTCCTGTGTGAGGCTACTGTCATTGGATAAAGGGTTGTTTCTTAAAAATGAGCGCCAGGCATTTCAGTCTGAAGTCGTCCGTCTTGGTCATAGTGAAATGGAGCACCCTGTGCCTCTAGATGTGTCCTCCCTGATAACATTTTCTAGTGATCCTGGGCCTCCACTGGAGCTATGTGATGGGGATCCTGGTTCCCTCTCTGTAACTCTTTGGAGTGGATTTCCTGATGATATTGCTCTTGAATCACTGAGTCTCACTCTTACAGCTACTAATATCACTGATGATGGTGTAAAGGTTCTGTTTTCATGACTATGACTCCTTCACTCAATACCATTAGAAATGAATGCATTTTAATAGTGCTTTCTAATCATTTTGAACTCTTATTCAGGCTATAAAACGCTCTGGTGCTACAATCTTAAATCCTGGAAGGAATAAAATCACAGTGTCTTTACCTCCTCAGAAACCTGGTTCGTATGTTTTGAGTATTCTTACAGGACAAATTGGTCAATTGAGATTTAGATCTCATAGCTTCTCCAAAGGAGGACCTGCAGATACTGATGACTTTATGAGTTATGAGAAACCAACAAGGCCTATCCTGAAGGTACCTCAGAAGAGCATTGTATCCTTATCCTGCCTTCACCCTTCTTTTTGCATTATTCCTGTCTTAATGTCTAGCTTTACTATTTTTCTTGCATTATAACGTATAAGTTTCTGAATGTGTATCTTCAATATTCTTCGTGTACAATAAATGTCTGAATATGTTGCCACTTGCTATAATCATGCACGTATTCATATCATATAATCATATGTTTGTCATTTTTTTGCAAGGTGTTCAAACCAAGATCTCTGGTTGCTCTAGTGGCGGCTGTCTCATCTGCTTTGCTTATCAATGAGCCTCAGTGGGTAGGAATAGTTGTCAAACCAATGAACTACTCCCTAAAAGGTGCTGTACTTCACATAGACACTGGACCCGGTTTGACTATTGAACAGTGCCATGGAATTGAAATTGAGAAGCATACAGATGGATCTCATAATGAATCTGATTTGGGTGACCAGGAAGGTTTGAAAGATGATGGTAACCAAGCTTCTACAGAATCAAAGCAATTGTCTCTTCATGATGGAAAAGTTGAGCTGCCAGACTGGGCTAGCAATATAGCTTCTGTTTTATGGATCCCTGTTTGTGCTGTCAGTGATTGCATTTCTAGGGGAACTCTTGCAGGTAATATATAACCTTTTTTTAACAGCTCTATCTTGTATTTCTAGGAGGCTTGAGCTAGGTGAGTGGGCTAGTCTGGGAGACACTGGGACTTTGGGTACTGTCGGCGTATTTGTCAAGAGGAGGTGGCGAGGGCCATCCACGGGGATGAGAAGGGGGAGAGTGCCTTGGGATCGGATGAGATTCTATTGGTGTTTTGGAAGTCTGCAGGCATCAGTGGGTTGGTTTGGAACTGGTTTGGATAACCAAGTTCTTTAATGTTATATTTAGAACGACTAAGATGCTAGACAAGTGGAGGGAAAGTGTGGTAATCTTACTGTATAAGGGTAAGGGTGATATCCAGATTCCAATATTTATACTTTTATAGGGGCATCAAACTTCTTAGCCACATGCCCACACCAAAGTTGGGGAGCATATCATAGAGGCTAGGATGTGAAAGGTGTGCATTTCCAAGAACTAGATTGGTTTCATGCTTGACCAGTTGACCATGGAGGCTATCCATCTTCTGCGGGGGATGATGGAAGCGTATAGGGCTAAGATGAAGGATCTTCACATTGTGTTTATTGACCTTGAAAAGGCATACAAAAGGGTGTTGGGGGAGATTTTTTGGAGGTGTCTTGAGTTTAGAGAGGTTCCATCACGGTGTGTCCAAGCGCAAAGGGAAAGTACCTTGGTGCGTGCTTTTTGCTGTGTTGATCGAGGAGACGCGTGAAGGGCTCAATGGCAAGTTGGAGTTGTGGCGTCACTTCTTGGAATCCACAGGCGAACTAAGAAGGACTAAGACCGAGCCCTTGGAATGTTGCTTCGGTGGTAGGGCGACAGAGTCGGATATTCGAATGTGAAAGTCAGGATTGAGTCACACCCGATGCCTAAGAGAGACAAGTTTTGATATCTTGCTTGAATCATATAGGAAGATGGAGATATAGACAGGGGTATTGTTCACCGTGTGGGAGCTATTTAAGCAAATGGATGCTACTTGGGCAAAGTGGAAGCTTGCTTCAGGTGTCCTCACGACAAGAAGATTTCAGCTTAGATGAAAGGGAAGTTCTATCGGTCTGACCGACAATGCTTTATGTAGCAGAGTGTTAGGCGGTTAAGAAAACCCACGTTCGTCAACTGCATGCAGCACAGATGCGGATGCTGCAGTTGTTTTGTGGGAAGACGAGGTTGGATAGGATTGGTAACATGATCATACGGGGACGAGTTGATGTGGAACCTGTAGAGCATAAGCTGCATGAAGCTAGGTTGAAATGGTTTGGACACGTGAAGCGGCGTAGCGTTGAGTCCCCGGTGCGGAGATGTGAGAGGCTTAGACTAGTGCACATGGTGGAGGTCGAGGAAGGGGTTGACCTAGGAAGAATTGGAGAGAGGTGACTAGAAATCACTTGAGTTTTCTAGCCTTTACCGAGGATACGACCTTAGATAAGAGCATCTGGATATCTAGGATTTGGGTAGTTGGGTAGTCGATTGGACCTTATGCTTTAGTCGTTTCTCTTGTGTGTGCTTTCGTTGCTTGCTGTTTTTATGTCTCTTTGCGCTTTTCTGTACCCTTAGTTTGTTCTTTGTATGTTGTGTCCGTGCTTTGTGTGCCTTCCATGTTGCTCGAGCCGGGGGTCTCTTTAAAACAGCCTCTATACTTTCAAGTAGGGGTAAGGTCTGCACACAAACACCCCCCCAGACCCCGCTTTTGTAGGATTTTACTGGGCTGTTGTTGTCTATCTATTATCTAATGTGTTACTGATGATAAAAAATACTGAACACACATGGTGGGTGTTCTATCATGCATATCATAACCATTTCTTCAACTATATATCTTTCAGGAGAAGGCATATCCCAGAGACAGAGTGTTGTAGATGGAATGAGAACAATTGCTCTAAAACTTGAATTTGGAGTATCTCAAAATCAAGTATTTGAAAGGCTTGTATTTTCCCCTTTTCATACTTCGTTTTTCAGGACTTGGCACACTTTATCCTGTACACTCTTCTTGATTTCTTATCACTAATTTGAACCTTGCAGGACAATGGCTGTACATTTTACAGACCCTTTCTGTGTGAGCATACGGGTTACGGACAAGTGCAATGATGGCACTCTGCTTTTACAGGTTATCTATATGCTCCTTGTTTTCTGTCATTGTTGGTCATTCTGCAGACATAAATTTTCATATCTTTGGTGGGTTTCCCTGAAAAGATTTAGAAATGGAATATTAAATATTTAAATCAAAACAGCCATAGTGACTAATCAGTCGTGATTCTGTAGTCCGTAATTTAATATACTCTGAATCTCAACATGTGTCATCTGCATTCTGCTGTAAGGGAAAGTTCTCAACATGACTTTACTCATATATCATCAAATCAAGTTTCTACTTCCTCCGGTCCTAAATAAATTTCTGCATTTGACTTTTGCGGTTTAAGGTGAATGTAAAAAGTGTTTTGGGAAATGGGAAATGATGTTGGGAATGCAAAAAGTGCTGTAAAAAGTGTTCTGGAAAATGGGAGTAAAAAGTAAAAGAAGTTTATTTTGGGACGTTGGGAAATTGGAAGAATCTAGTTTATCTGAAAACAGAGAGTGTCTGAAAATTGAGCTATTTAATGCCAGGTCTATAATCAAGTTTTACTATCAAATATAACTTACAATACAACAACAATAAGTAACAACAACATTACCCCAGTGCTTCAAAGGCTCTTGCCCATTTCGGGGTGGGGTGGGGTGGGGGGGGGTCGGATGTATGCAGTCTGACCCCTATATTAAAAACATAGAGCGGCTATTTTCGGATGACCCATGATGAGCGTCGAAAGTTGCATTGACTAACTGCTACTTCACCATTGAAAAAGAAGCGCAAACAGTTTAAAGAACCATTTTGCTTGATTCCATCAAACCCAAAGCCAAAAAGATAGTGAATCTTTGGCTCCCTCGGAGATGATGGAAGACAAATACGGAGTATAACTTACAATGTATGTAACAAATTGGGTATGGCTAGGTAATACTGCAATCACAAGTGCAAGCTTTGTTGACCATATATGATGCTGGACTTGATTTACAAGATGGATTTTCTCACACCGGAACCAGCAATGGGAAATCGATGTCTCAATTCTTCCCGTTGACACTTTCTCCAAAATCAAAAGCTTCAATCTTATTCAGTATATGCTTGAAGGAGGATGGTGTAAAAGAGGGTATGCCTACTTTGTTATTCACTTATCCTTCTCATTATTTATTTTTCTGATGCATTAGTTTCTGTTTTCCAATCAAAAGTTATGGATGCTGCAATTGTAAAATCTTAATGTGCCGCTAATAAAAAGAGAGATATATTCTTTTCACTTTCCCTTTAACAGTTTGCTTTTCATCAATTCATATGCCATGTTTTTAGCAGATGAAGCTAAAATGCAGCACTCAGAAAGCGTGTTAAATATTACATATGGGATTTCGGGTGATAGAATGATTGGAGCTCATTGCCCTATGGCTGAGGAACGTAATGAACCTGATGACACAATGCTGAAGCTGACGTTCAAGAGCTCTCTTGTTTTACGGAAACCTGTGCTTGACCCTTGCTTTGCAGTTGGCTTTCTTCCACTTTCCAGTGGTCTACGAGTTGGGCAATTTGTTACAATGAAGTGGAGAGTTGAAAGGCTAAAAACATTAGGTGAATATGCTGCTTCTGAAGACAATGTAAGTGACCAGTTTCTTCTTAACATTTTATTAACCTTCTAACCTACAACCTAGAAGAATCCCACAAAAGTAGGAGGGTGTAACGTATACTCCCTCCGTCCCCCATAGATCTTCCATTAGCCCCTTTTTATTTGTCCCTCATAGATCTTCTGATTACTTTTTTTAACATTTAAAATGTCATAACTACCCCCACTTTATTTATTACACCTTACCCACCTCATTTAATACATTCCACCCATTTTCTTTAAGGGTATTTTGGTAATTTTCACCTTTTTTCAACTCTTTAAAAACCGCAAAAAGTCAAAACGAGAAGATTTTAAGGGGACGGATGGAGTATATGTATGTATGTATGTATGTATGTATGTATGTATAAGCTGATATACGCTAATGCCGAAGAAACGCCAATTCCAGGGCAAGCCAACTACCCCTAGTTAAAAAGTAGGTGTATGTATGTATGTGGGTGTCTCTCTCTCTCTTTATATTTATATTTATATATATATATATATATATATATATATATATATATATATATATATATATATATATATATATATATTGAAAAAATTGACAATGTAACACTGATATTGTCTGTCTTGGACAATCCAAGGAGAATTTGGCGCTTATGAGAAGTTCTTCAAACCATTGATTGAGAAATACAATATTGCTAATCTTTCATGTCTTCTATATGCACGTGCTACAGGATGAAGTTTTTTTCGAGATCAATGCAAACTCTGATAACTGGATGATTGCAGGGAGGAAAAGGGGACACGTCCCGCTGTCCATAAAACAAGGTTTCCGCTCTCTCGTGAAGTTTTACTATTATTTCTTTGTGGCCAAGAATTCCCTTCAACCAACATTCCTATTTTCTCTCTTTGGTTATATTTAGCAGGGGCACGAATAGTCATTTCAGTGTTGTGCTTGCCACTAGTTTCGGGATACGTTCGTCCCCCTCAACTTGGCTTGCCAAATGTGAAGGAAAATATTAGTTGTAACCCTCCCGGTCCTCATTTGGTTTGTGTTATGCCTCCAACTCTGAGTTCTTCCTTTTGCGTGCCAGCCTGAGCCATTTGTGAGCAGTTTTCATGTATAAAGATGGTTTGCTTGGGTCATCCATTCATCTAAACACAGAAGAAATGGAAGGGCGCCAGAAGTGGACATCAGTTTTCCCTGCCCAGAAAACTTGTACCTTGTGTCATTGTGTGTATTATTTCTTTCCTGTTGGAGTAGCGGGTATTTACAAACTCAGCCCCTCAAACATTCACTGTTATTTCACTATTCAATGTATTTTTTCCATAATTTTTAGTCAAAGGTTAAAAAAGTTGACCTTGAAAGTCAAACAGGAAGGGGGATATGGAGGGGTAAATTTCACAAATGGTATCTTAACTTTAGCTGGAATTTCGAAGTGGTACCTGAACTTCAAATCCTTTCACAAAAATCCCTGAACTTACACAATCCTTTCACTAATGAGTCATTAGCCCGTTTCTAGGTTAACTTCCGGTCATTAGGGCCAAATTCGAATTTTATATATTTTAAAATTTTCAATTTGACCACATTTCTTCTTTTCTTTTCTTCCACGCCCCGCCGCCGCCCGCCGGTCAAAGTCGCCGGAAAATGAACTTTTTCCGATTCCGGCGGGACCAATGTCATTCTCTTTGTCTTGAGATGAGGATCAATAATATCCAAACCATTTTGTCTAATTTGGCCTGTAACTTCTCGAATCTGAATTTTTCTACTCGAAAAAACCTTAAAATTCGAAATTGGATCCAAAATTGGGGGTTTTGCAAATCTTCATCAAATCTTGCAATTGAGGGGTCCTTGGAGGTCGCCCGGATGCCACGACCGCATTGGCGTTGGTGCCCGCCGTCAATTTCGCCGGAGTTGGCCGGAAAACGCTCCGACCCGCCAGCGGTTTCCGTCGGGTCGGAGCGTTTTCCGGCTAAATACTCACAAACTTATTATTTTTTCTATCACATCTTCATTATTTTTTCTAGAGCAATGCTATGTTCACAAACAAAATACTCACAAATTTATTATTTATGATTTAAAATTTTATTTTAAAATCATTTTAGACCATTTAATTTTATGCATGGAAGTTCACAAATAGTATGTTTGTGAAGTTTGTGACCATTGTGTTTGTGAACCAATCATTTCCCTTTTATCTACACTTAGGCTTCGTTTGGTACATGTAATTCAAGCAATGGAATTAGAATTAGATTCTATTGCCAATTCTTCTAAAAAAACTGCCAAGAATTCGAAACAAAATTTAAAAAAAACAAACACAAGTTGAACATTGCACGTATAGTAGGCACGTAGACAATATATTACATAACTTACACACTTAAAAATAAGAAAAATCAATCAAAGGTCGAGTCTATTCATTTCCTTAACCACAATATGAAATTTTTTCAACTCTTCAAAAGGTCCGAAGTCATGTAATTCAAGAATTTCATGATGAGATACATCAAGAACCACAACTCACCAATCAAGCATGAAAATATACTTCTACTATAGAAAAAATTTATAAAAGAGTGGATTTTTTTCTATTCAACTCCCATGCACAATTTATTAGTATTTTTGCCAGCATTTCATATACTTAAATAAACTTTTGCTCCTAATGATGAGCATATTCCGCAGATTTTCATAAACTCACCAAACCAATGATGCACACATTCACATAAATGAACACAACATATTTTCAAAAAATCAAGAATTGTTTTTGAGTTTAAACAACCTCAACTCAATGAAAACAACAAACGAACACACGAAAACATAGCAATCACTCAATCACAAATTTAAGGAAAACGAATCAACAAACAGAAGCATAACAAAGAATCACGTATTAATTCGGAGTTCATTTAACTACTTTATGAAGCTAAAATAGCTTCAACAAAAACTGAATTCCACATATCAACCTACTTATGAAAACGAATTATGTAATTCAACCAATTCAATAACAACTTGCTCAATAATTGAAGAAAACTAGTATGAATCAATTCTCGTTCATATGAGAATTTTGAAACAAACTAGTAAACAAAAAATGTAAAATTGAATACAAAACAAACTTTTACATATAATTAGAGGAAAAAAATAAAAATTGACAAACAAGGGTTACCGAAGAAGATGAAGAAATTGAAGAATTGGAGCTTGAAAGAGACTGCCCTCCGCTGCCAGTTTCCGTCTGCCGGCTGTCCGCCATCGCCGCCATAGCAGCGGCCAAGCCACTGCTTTATTCTCGGTCGATATCTTTTCCCTTCCTAGTTCCCCATCTTGTGAAGCTTCAATTTATAGAATGGAGAACTATTTGCCGTTGAATTTCTAGCCGTTGGAGAATTGATTGTCGCGAACGTTAGAGATTTGGTCCTCGGGCTTAGGCATTATGTTCGTCGTCGTTCTCCTGCGCGATGTTGGAGTCGCATTTTTTTCACTAAATTGATGAAGGAGGCGTGTGGTGCATTGAGTCCAAAATTGCATGCACATTTACCACGCATTTATGTGCATTTTAGTTGATCTTTGGTGATAAATTCAGATAATTAAGATCAAAATTGTCTAAAATGTGTTTTTGAACACTTAGATTATTTTGGGGTCAAAAGAATAAAATTTTAATATGAAAATCTGAAAAGATTAGTTTATTGACCAGGTTTTAAGTGTGATGGGCTGAGATAGGACCAAGCCCAACTAAATTTATGTGATGACCCATTTTGTTGTGCAGGGGATAAAAGGAGAGAGGATGCAGTAGGGTTGGAGGGATTCGCTGATATAGGAAAACAAAAGAGAGAAAGGAGAGAGAGACTGAGAGATGGGGTGTAACACCCTAATTCGTCCAGGTCTGTAGCTCCTTCCGGACTAAAGTATTAACTTGGTAATCGTAAAATTTAAAACTTTTCAAACACTTTATTTATCACAATAATATTTTTCTTAACATATACAGTACGGAGTTTTCAATACTGCGGAAGCTTAACAAATCATAATTACAAACGTAATTTATTTATGTTCTTTAATTCAAAACCATCACATCCATTCCGACAATCTCGCCTCCGTCTGCCTCCAGAATCACGTCACATCATTCTTTCTATTAACCTGCGTGTAGCAAATAAAACACACTACACGCTGAGCAGTGAAGCTGAGTAAGCATATCTAAAGCGTCGAACATCCACATAAATTGAATCTCAATTTGTTAGAATAAGTGACCAACGCTAGAGGGGGGGTGAATAGCGTTTGATCGTAGAAATCGCAGAAATAAAAAAACTTAAAAGAGAAGTAAAGAGAAGAGTAAGAGAGACACTGAATTTTACCCTGGTTCACCACAACTTGTGGCTAATCCAGCCTCCCGAGAGACTCTCTCGAGCTACACTACTTCCGTTAAGCTTACGGGTGCTTAACAAACCGTTACAACCTGAGAACTCGAGTCCCACGAGCCTCAACAACACTTGCTCGGAGATACCGCACTCCAAGACTTCAACCCAAAGGAAAAATATCTTTCCTTCGTACAACCAAGGGAAACAAGCTTCCCTAAACGTGTTTACAACACTAAGACACTCAAGAACAAGGCTCTCTTTTAGAGTAGATGTTGAGTAAACTATATACGCTCAAGAACAACTCAAACTTCACAAATTGGCTCTAGAAAGCTATGAAAAAGGATGTTGTTTTAATGCAACGATGATATGAATATTGTGAAGTGAATTAATGAGAAAAGCAGACCCAAACACCCCTTTTTATAGTGCCAAAATAGGCTCCAACGGACCAATGCATTAAAGGGGTGATTGGCTTGATTTAAGGGATTGAATAAATTTGGGATCTGCAGGATATTGGCTTCCCATCGATGTTTGGAACTTACCCATCGCTGGTAAGCCAATTTTCCTTCAGTTTTTGAAGCCAACGGTTATCTACCCATCGATGGGTACAAGCTTCCCATCGCTGGGTGGGAGGTTGACTTCCAAACAAGGAAAGAATCAACCTTAAATGACTTCCAACGGTCATGCCTTCCCATCGATGGTTTAGCCTTCCCATCGCTGGGTTCCCATCGATGGGTAA